CATAGAACAATCACTGTGACTATTCGCCACTGATAGGAAATCGAAAATTACATCTAAGCACTTGCTGTGAATATATGTAATTACAGTGTTTTCCTTAACTTGATTATAAAAGCGACTGCCATGAATGCACATGGCAATTTAAGAATCTCAAAACCGTCTAAAACTAAGTACGTTACTCCTCATCTAGATCTCTTCCACTATTTTTAACGCTTAATGCAAGTGTGAGCAAAGAAAATTAAACTGCCTTTCCCAATGTATGCTCTATAATTTCCACTCCATTTTATAAATAACAACAAAACGCCCCGTTTATTTTTACAAAACTGTACCAACCAACACACATACATATGCACTTATGCAGTGCTGCCTGACTACTTGCATGGTCTGCATGTGAACGATGAACCTGATCCTCACATCCGCCAATTATTTTCTATATCAAAATTAAAGAAAATCAATTGAGAAAGGCTTTTGCAGCTGCCAATAACGACGACAATCACCGTCGTTTATATACTCATAATGGGTTCTTTAGAGTGTCCAGCATAGCATGGTTATATGTATACATGTATACATACACGTATGTGTGTGGCAGTGTGTTCGTTCCGTCACTTAGCGGATGTCAGTGTGTATGTCTGAATGTACGAATGGTTTAATAAATGCCAATTCTTCGGCTCCTACCTTCCCTTTATGCCCATATGTATGCATGTGTGTATATGTGTATATATATCTATATGGATTTCCTTACCTTTCTTTTTTCTATCTGCTAAACTCTAGATTTATCTTGTTCATTTACAATTCCAACCATGCATGGCTTGACGTTGGTCAAAACAGGCTCGCGCCGATCTTTGTCTGCACGGTCTAAGGTACAATAAGGTAAGCTTTGATTTCTGGCACGTTCCTGTGTTGCTGTTGCTGTTGCTGTTGCTGCTGCTTGCGCTTGTGCTATTATTATCCTATTCCCGGCACAGAGCTTAGCAACGCACATTACGTTCATATGTATGTATATGTACATATGTATATAGTATGTGTCTGTCTTGCAAAATTTATTTGAGCGCATGCGTGTATGCTTTCGCGTGTGCTGCTATAAGGAAAGAGTGGCACTTGTTTATGATCAAGGCTTTGATTTCCTTACCCATCTCTAGTGGCTCTGAAAAAGTGCAGTAGTTGAGCGCATGTAGTATTTACATAAAAGCTATGCGCTTGTGCTACGTGTGTACATACATATGTATGTTCCCCGCAATTGCCTACTTTTTTTCTATCTTCCTTTCTTGATTCTCTTCTTCTTCTACTTGTATGCATTTTGATATAAATAGAATAGTTTCAGGTTTTTCCAGCCACAAGAGCAATTAAGCATTTTCTATTTATGCTTAAACATATGCTATGTAATGAAGCCAATCGAAGTCATGACTTACCCACAGGTAACAAATGCGGTTGCGCAGTTGCATATTTTTAGAAAAATAGTACATGCATACATACATACATACATACATATGCTCTTGACAGTCAAGACAGATTTTGGCCGAGCACTTTATTTCAAAGCGAATATAACTACATTTATAGTATGTATGTATGTATGTAAGTGGGAGAGTTTAGTGAATTTGAATTTTTATTTTGAAATTTTTTAAGATAAACAATTTTCTACCCGAAGCTTTTTTAACGCTTCAAAAAAAAGAAGTTGCATTCGAACCCATAACTTTTTTAGTTTCATACATAAGTATTGTACATGAACTTCGACTGCTAACTGCTGGGTTAATCGTCTAGTATTGTAGCTTAAACTGAGTTTTGTTCGTTTAGTCGATAGACATGCGACTGTGGAAATGCGCATTAACAGTTTTAAATTAATTTATTTTATAATAGTAGTTGCTTTTTCCAAATTAATGTAAAAGTAAAATAAAAATTTGCCATTTAATTTATTTTCATTATAAATTTTGGACTAAGTTAATTCCTCATAGAGCACACCAAACAATGACTTTTTGGCGATCACTCCAAAGCTTATAAACGTACCCACTAAAACATCATCTCTGACAAAATTCTTATGAAAATTGGGATCAGTGGCCAACACGCTGTGGACTCATTCATCGTTCGGCTTCAGTTTTTGTAAGCCCGTAAATAAATATCCTTCCGCAAGATCTTCCATAAAGTGGATGGCCATAGCTCTAATTGTTCCACACGATGGCAAATAGACTCATTCGGGCGAGGCGACTTAAATCCAATAGTTTCCGCGACTCTAGAATAACTCGAAATTTTATCCAGGCTACGGAGAAACACTGCTGCAATATTTTCCAAAATCTATTTTTTTAATTGCAACAACAACAAAAACGCAAAAAATTCTTCAAACATTCTTGGAACGAACTTCTGATCACGTTTTGCATCCTGATAAAATACTTAACCAATCTTTGAGCCCGCGACACCAACTAACCACTTACATATATACATACATAAGTACATTCGTACTTATATTTGGTAACGCATATCATATGTCCATGTGGATTGTTGTCTACTAAACGTCTTCGCAACTGGGCAACGCCTTCTAAGTGTTATAACTATTTGTGTCCATCGCTATAAATTGATAGAAAGAACTTGGCGTGCATAATCTTGATATTTATTGTACACCTAATATGTACAAATGTATGTATGTATGTATGTACGTATCATGGATTGGTACTCTAGGCGGTTTATGCTTAGTACTATTGCATCATTCTTGTCTACCACTAAAGGGTTCGTTGCACAAATGCCTTATGATCAGAGAGATTTTAGTTAAAAATAGTTTGTGGTCGATCGAGTTTGGTATGAACACCTGAACATATATGTACATATATAAATCATATATGTACAACTCATCTACAAACATATATATATGAAAATGCAAAGGAGAAGCTTGGGCTGGTGTAAGTAACGAGCAGAAGTAGAAGGAAACCTTAAAAGCGTTCCTTAAGTACGTATCCACAACTAATTTGGTATGGCATGAACTGCAAGAAATTCTTGTTGCTTTTTGTTTGACATGGATATGCGCGAAGAAGAAAAAAAATGTATCTTACCAAAGTAAAGTAAAAAAATATATTCAATGACGTTTTCCTGCCTTTGATTAAAATTTATTTTAATATTTATCTTTCAAAAATAACTTTGTATTTTTGGATCTTCTAAATATTTTTTTTTTTTGATAAATATCTGCTTTTTTTTTACGCGTACAAATTAATTTGAAAAAAACTCGGAAACAGAAAAAATTAACTTAGGAATATTATAAATATTAGCTGAGGTCAATAATAATATATATGTATAAATATTTATAATTAATTTTTTTTTTATTTTTTTAATTTAATTTTTATTACTTTCTACTAATATTATTGCACACTATTCTTTTTATTGGTGTAGACACTGCTTACACGTTTATAGACAAATTTATAACAATGCGCCATTCATTTAATTTTTTTTTCTTGTTTGGCGCCAATTGGAGATACCAAGTACAGCCAGGTTCTTCTCTACTTGGTCCTTTCAACGGTTTTCTCCTTCCTTTGCTACCACCGTCGAGTGCTGCATCGAAAACTTTCAAAGCTGGAGTATTCTTTTCAAACTTGTAGAGGACCATAAATCTTACGCGAATCTTCTCCCCTCTCTCCCTTTCTCGAGTACTCCTTACGCCGACTCATCTGATGTTGTCATCGTCCAAACCACCACACCATTTAGCAATACGGGATCGATATGCGACTTGTAGAGTTTGGATTTCTTTCGTCAAGAGAGGACTTTCAATTGCTATTGAATTGCGAGTAGCACCTAATAATGATTCTGAGTTCGATTTCCAGGCTGACATTGTTGTTTATGTTAATGCTGGTTCCAAGGTAGGCGAAGTTATCTACGACTTCAAAGTTGTCACTGTGAACAGTGACCCATGTACTTCGCTACCTTATCCAGCCTAGAGAAAACACAGCTCACAGTGCGGTTGTTGAGGCCATTAATATATACATACGTATTTATTGTATTATTATAGATATTTTCTTATTATTAATTTTTATTTTTTATTTTTAAATAATCTGTTGCTTTTCTTTTAATTACTTTCTAATTATATTTATTGTCTACACTTGCAAAAAATGCGCGAAAATGAACTCAGTGATATTGATAAATAATAGGTACATATGTATGTATAGAAATACAAATTGAGTACCTTCACAGCTTACTTCTAGAAAAATATTAGCACTGACCGGCACAGAGTTCTACGAAAATAATACATAGCCATCGAATAATTTACAAAAATCGTATTATTCTTAATTATCAACAAATTTAGCTTACACACACATATTTGTACATAAAATCTTACAGGGAAATCGTGAGATGTGCTCGCGCATATAAATGTGTGGGTGAGGATATGCTGAGGCACAAGTACTGTTGACTTGCAAGCAAATCTTCTACACTCAATAAAATAAATCGCATGCGATATTTTTCCAACTTCCTTATGTATACATATTTATGTCAATATTACTGAATACATATACCAGCTCAAATGCATAACCACACACACACACACACGCACACACCTACACGCTGACAAGTGTTCATATGCATGTTAGTATGCTCGTATGCACTTCGGCTTGTAAAAAAAATTGAGAGCAAAACAAGAGAGAGAGTAAGTAGCAGAAATATGGCTCAAGCCGGTGAGTTGATTTTTCAGAGCTGCGCTTGACTTTCGGAGCATTAAGAAAGGTAGCAAAAAAAAAACTAATACGTACAGAATAGAAGCATAATAAATACAAAGCTGAAGAAAACCAGCTCTTCGTATACTGTCAGTTAAAGTGACTTCTCTTCATTTTACAGACATCAGTGCAAACACATACACTCACACACACAGAGCTAACAACAACAACACCATCAACATCATCATCATCAGCATAGCACACTACTATTATCACACGAAACCAATTTTCCTGCTCATATCCAACCACCAGCCAACCTTTTGCCGGGGATATATAAACGCCGGCCCACGTCTGCAGCTAATCAAAGTGCTTTTCGAAACAGTCCGCTGCGCATAAAAACACAATAAGGTAAAGAAGCAAACAATTCACTTGAAATAGTCAAAAGTATAAAAATAATAATAAAAAATAGAATTAAATTATAGCGTGCTGAAATTATTTCAAAAACGAGTTGCGCTTAAAGCTTTCTATTTTTGTCTTTTTTTTTTTGGTTTTTTGTGATAACCAAATAATATATTTTGTGTAAAATAGTTAAAAAAAAACTTAACTTACACAAATATCAGGTGAGTTATTAGGGACTAAATCAACAAAAAACAAAAAATAATGGGTTGGCGATCTCTGTGTTGTTGGTGTAGAAGGCTTTTGCATGTGGCAGTTAATTGAGTGCAAAATGGACAAAAAATACATGCGAATTACACTGTCAATTGTTTAATGAACTGAAAAACGCAGAAAAAGCATTGAAATGCAAAAATTTTATATTCGAAATGCCTAAAAGAAGTGTGCTTGAAAATAATTGCGCTAATTTGTGGTAGAAAAAAGTATGAGATTGTTTAAATAAATAGAGCGTGCTTTGGTAATTGTGTTAGATTTTCGCATGAAATTGTCGTTTATTAAAATTAATTTTAAATTACACATTTTAACTTTGAAAAATTGTGCAAAGTAATTTTTACGCAAGAATATACAATTTGTCATACTAGTAAATTAATTTAATATTTTTTACAAAAGTTTTCATTTTTTTGTATTCAACTTGCTTTAAGTGTTCATTTTTAAAGCCAAAGCATAATTTAAAAGTTTTTTCTCAGACTTAAACACAATATTTAAAAAAAAATATCTCAAAATTTTTCAAAAATAAAATAGTTCTTAATTAAACAAATTTATAATGTATTTTTTTAATTGAAAATTTAGTAACAGAATGTTTTCAAAAAAAAAAAATTTTTATTTTCTTTAGAGATTATAAATGAAAGACACAACGCAAAACTCTTTACTGAGGTGAAATTAAAAAAAAAATCATTTAACTTTTTAAATTGTAGTTTTTATGTTTTTCAAATTATTTTAAATACATTTGGCTGTTTGTCTGCCTAATTGAAATGAAAAAGAAAAATAGCGAACAACTCTAACGATTTCATTGCATCTTCTGAATGTTTTATGAAAACTTCCTCTAATTTTATTTTTTTTAAGTATAAGTTTAATTTTATTTAATATATTTCTAAAATTTTTAAAAAGTATAAAAAATACACTTTTTTCTTAATTTGTATGATAATAAAAAAAATATTAAAAAAATTTATTTGAAACCAAAAGCATATTAAAAATATTTTAAATATTTTGTATGTTTTCTAAACATGAATTTAATTATCCCATTCCTACGCTACTTTAAACTGATTTCGTTATAAATTTGAATATACGTTTCTTTTGCTATGGTTTTACAAATATCCAACAGAAAATATGCTTTTTACATATTTTCGTAAATAAACCGTAAATTATTATTGTCACACATTATTTAATTATAGTTTCTGCATTTTATTTTTTATTCTCTGTTTTTGAGAGTGAAAAATAATTCTAAATTAAAATGATGAATAATTAAAAACATTACAACATTTGAGCGCAGTTGAGCAATAAACGAGTGTCGAGCTATCACTAACACTACACGATAGCCGCGTTTCTTGAGTACGAGTGAGAAATGCAAATTTATTTTCCTTTGATAACCTTCACAACAACAACAACTACAACAGCAACATTGATAGAAAGTAATAAAACAGGAGTCCAAAGGAGACAACATAGACACTCTTAACAGCTTATCTGCTAGGAAATCTGTCCGCCCTTTCAATGACGAATAATATTAAAATCAACTAAGTTGATTAAACCAATTTTATTAATTAATAATTAAATTTATTTCATATTACAATTAAAATTAATTTTTATTCGAAAAACATTTATTTTTTTCTCGATTTCCATCAATTTTTTAAAAATAAAATAGTTCTTAATTAAACAAAATTATAATGTATTTTTTTAATTGATAATTTAATATCAGAATGTTTTCAAAAAAACTGTTTAAAATATGCGTGTGTCCAATTTATGCGAGTTGGCAATTTTTTCACGCAAATTACGCACATTAATTTCTATGAGTATAAGAAAAAAATCATGGAAATATGCATGCATGCAAACATGCATGCATACACACATACATACATATATACCTTTATTTAATGATCAAAGCCAAACTTGACATTGAACTGAAAAATCAAAATTATCACATATTCACACGCTGTATCTACATACTTGTAGATATATATACGAGTATATGTATGTATATGCACATCTGAATTAATCAAAACGCAAGAAACATGTTGTTAAACTCGATACGAATTTGTAGATCAGATCAATGAATTTGCGACGCAAATCGGACAAGACTGGTCTAAATGTATAACTAAAACGCATAAATACTCATATATAATATACATATATTATATGTATGCATGCATAACTTGGCCGCCGCGGTAGCCGCGTGGTTAGCTTTGTGTAGTGAAACTCGGAAGGCTCGGGCTCAAATCCCGATGCAACCAGCATCTAAAAAATGTTATGGAAAATTAATTAAAAAAAATAAAGAGTCAAGTTAAATTTTCTAATTCCGGTCGTCCCCTTGGCAGGGTTTGTCTACCCCTCTGAGTGAGTTTCGGTCATAAAATAAAGGCTCCTCGTAAAAAAAAATCATCCGTTCGGAGGTGGCTTAGTATAAACTGTAGATCCCTCCATTTATTGGAAAAACATCAAGACGAAAAACCATAAATTGGGGGGGAGCTCGGCCAAAAATCGCTCCAGCGGTTACAAAGCGCCAAATTTTATGCATACATATATGCATAACTAAAAGGAAAATATTATGATTGACAAATAAATATGCAGATGCACATATGTGTGGTATAGGTACGTATGTATGCATGAGTATATGAAAATGCAATGCAAACCACTTGTCCAAATGACATTCAAGGTGCACGAATAAAGCTCAGCTAGTGGTAACCTGCAGAGATTTATCTATGTGTCTATGTATGTATATGTATGTTTACAAAATGATATTAAGAAATATCCAAGAAAAGCCAACAAATACTATATTATGGGAAACGCCTGCGCAGTTTCTTATGCGCCAAACACCGTTAAATTATAAAGTGGTCACATATTCAACTTTTTATTATATACATACATATTTATATACATATATACATACACGTATATATATAACACTAGTGACCATAAATTTATATATGAAAAATCTGTTGCATATACATATAATATAACTGTTTCATTGCATTGGTGGCGCGGAATGCAGACTCCCACAATTACAAAAAAAAAAATACACTATTCATATATGTATGTAGATGTGTACATACATACATGTGTATGTATGTAAATTTGTATGTGTGCGATTGCATTATGAAAAGTGCAGCTAACTTGTTTGCATAACCAAAACGTTTTTAGTAAAACCAGATTTAGATTGTACACACCTAATACCAACTGGCATGCATACGTACATATGTATAATATATATTGTAAATAGCATAACATAATTCATTTAAACCTTTACAAGTTAGTCGGCAATAGCAGCAACATCAGTAGTGGCAGCAATTATGGTCCAGGGCCTTCTAACTCTGCAACTCATTTGTTTGGCAAAGTTCAAAAACGTAATTAATATACATACAAAACTGTCTGTCTATATATATGCATATATATTTGTTTGTATGTTTTGAAGTATGTATGTATGCAAGTTTGTGCTGGAATTAAAAAGGCGCGCAGTTGCATTATAACAGTTTCAATTTTATTCAATCTTATTTCGCTTGCTACATTAGCTATTACCAATACACTTGTATGTACGTGTGTATATGCACGTGTATGCATGTGAAATCGCTTATAGCAGCTTTTATAATTACAGACAATGAAATGCAGTAGTGACTCTGTACCATGACACCGTATTCTAGAATACGGCACCAAAAGAAAAACACCATACTAAAAGACAAATGAAGTTGTTTATATATATGTATACACATATACGTGTATGTATGTATGTATATGCAAGTAAGTGCTTATAAAACAACTTGAATTCCTGTGAAACTAGATTTTCCGCGCTGCATGTTTTTTATATAGAGATATTTACTTAGTACCCAACTTTTACGCGCTTTAGTTATTCGCTGCCTCTATCTCTAAAAAGCATTTGCAGCAAAACATGCTTATGGCACAAGAAGTTAGAAACAAAAACAACAAACAACAAACAACAAACAGATAGACAACTCTCATAACAACTGCATATTTTAGTCTGTTTTTTTAGTTTACTATTTTCTGGTGCGCGCCATATCATTCATTACAGACTTAGATTGGTTAAGTGGTTACTAGTAGCACACTAGTGGTATGTATGATATGTATACATATATGTACGTATGTAAATATGTTGTAGTTATGCAGTTATTCAGTAAGGCAACAAGTATTTGCAGTCTGTCATATTGGTGCAGCTTGTGCAGTCAATTTGGTAATTCATTTGCCAAACAAGCTTTGTCGCTGGATGCTGCAACTGTGCCGAGCTGAATTTCATTGCTCAAACGAATGCAGTTTGAATTATAGCGGCTGAGGGGTTTCCTTCACATTTAAGTTTCCTGACACTCCTCCTTAAGCAATTCAGAAACTTGTATTCTTAAATTTTAAGACTCATTATTATTCATTCAGTGTGTGGTGAGGTAATTAATCAGAATGTAATGAAAGCGGCCGCCCCTCGGCAGGAAATGTAGGTCCATCCATTTGTTGGAAAAACATCAAGACGCAAAGCCACAAATCGACGAAAGAGCTCGGCCGAAAATCGCTTCAGCGGTTATAAAGCGCCAGATATATACGAGTACATAATGAGAGCTGGACTTAAAGAGTGCCTGTTTGACATTAGGTCAACTAACGTACTTCAAGCAAAAAGCATGCTTTATCTCTTGGAGAAATTTTACACATAAAATCTACAATTATTGAAGGTTCTTCGATGTTTTCTTCTTCATCCATATTCATTTCCATATCTTTTATTTTTCTTGAAAATAACGTGATTTTAACAAATACGGGGGGAAAGATAAATAAATACACGCAAAGCCAAGCGAAATTGCTGCCCTTATCGTTGCTAATCATTAAATCCAATGCCCAGTGTCGCCGAAAATTGTAGACAGATTCTTTAAGCTCACTGGCTGATCAACTCGACGACTCTTCTCTCTTATACACTGGGTTCCAACTGACTAAAAGGTTTCGACAGGAAAATTTTCGGTAACGAAGA